CATATTTCTGAATTGAAGGCCATGTAATGTATGCCACTTAGTCTTGTGGAATATGAGCAGGCCACTCAGCGCTTATGCACACCTTTCAGAAGCGCCACGCGTGTGACTTCTATTCAGAAATATGTGAAGGGTAGTGCTTGATGAATGTAGGTAGCTCATTATGAGGCTAATCTTGATGACCGTGGTCGCGTACATGGGGCTTTATTGGAACAGGACAATTGGGTGTCTTCAGCGCTGCATCTCAATGAACCATGGACTGAGCTCAGTCTCTAGAGTAATAGTCATGAGCATACATGGATCGTATATTTCTCTCCCATGATAAGGAACATTCCGCGCCTATAGGTTGGGCGGAGACCAACAACCTTTGCGGTTACTTCATTGGTGATCCCGTCCTCTTTGAGCTAATGGGAAAAGCGTCGCGTCAATGAACAATGCACAGTACTTGCGAGATTCGCTCAAAGAATGCATCTTTGAAGGTGCAGCCCTCTTTGATTGTATGTGAGGATAAATACATTCGCCTCTTCTAGGAGAGAGACGCGTCAATGAGGAAGGCGAAATGTTTGGCTGTCCGCGCCCATGTGACGAACGTGGACTTTGCCTTCGAAGTCCCCTGATGAGCCCCCGAAGCAACCCCCTTTCACCACAGTCCCTCGAATTTTTTATCACCTCTGTTTATTCGATAAAAAAGATTGAGTAGAAAGAAAGCAAGTACCTGCCCCAACAGGTGACGTTGTCAGAAGTGGCCGATAGAATGCCGTCCTTGAGCACTGTCAATGGTTTGAAACTTCGATTACAATTCCTCAACGGATCATAGTTGAGGTCAACGAACTGAATACCACTTATTACTCAAGGATGGAAAGATTCGGTATTCATGGATGGAAACATTTAATATTCAAAAAACGAAGTAACAAAGTGGAGGGTGGGATTTTCGTTCGAGATGCGCCACGTAATCGAAACTCTTTCAACACAATAGGGGCTGTCAGATGTCTGTCGAACACGTTCGCGTGGATCAGTGGTTCTCAAGTCACTGTTCACCTACCGAAAAACCTTGATCTACGAACAGGCACATCATGGGATTTTGGTCGAGTCTGTACGACACCCCTCCTCCCCCCCCCCCCCCCC